TTCAGCAGAAGTTGGAGCCACTTGAGCCAGAGACTCCCATGGAGGTAATCTCTATTTTACTTTGTGTTTTATGGACTATGCATGTTTAGTATCTAATGGTTTTTTTTTTTCCATGTCTAGACTGAGTCAGCAGGTGGCGCTGTCTCTGCATCCTCAAAGAAGAACTTTATTGATCAGTATTTCGGTGTAGAATTTGAAACTTCGTATCCTTTCACCTTATCTGTGATAAATTCTGGTCTCCGGTTATGTTTTTCTATTTTTAGTTATTTTCTTTATTTAAATGCAACACAGCCATGATAAATATTCTGTAGTTTGACTTAACTCTTGAGTTCAGCATGAAATGCACAGAGTCTGAGGAAGAAGAGCCAATCAAGGGCAAAGAAAGTCAGCTCCAGCTCAGCTGCTTCATTAACCAGGAAGTTAAATACCTCGCTACGGGGCTGCGACTGGTAAGTACTGTTTAGGGTCGCCCATTATAGAGAGTCCAGCTGCCACCAATGGGGTTATTTCACTTCAGAATGCATTTCTGTAACTTAGCATCTCATTATAACGTGATGAGCAGTTAGTCAGCCAGGTGATGTAGAGCTAATCCTGTTCTTTCCCCAGAGACTGCAAGAAGAAATCACAAAAATGTCTCCAACCTTGGATAGAAACGCTTTGTATATCAAATCTGTAAGTATAAATTGTTTCCTACTTATATATTTTTTCATTAAGTTATTGGACCAAAATGTGACGTTTTCCCACCTGCCTGCTTGATATTTATCTGTCCTTATCCTCCACCAGTCAAAAGTTAGCCGCCTCCCTGCCTACTTAACTGTCCAAATGGTCCGATTTTTCTACAAGGAGAAGGAGTCGGTCAATGCAAAAGTTCTAAAGGTTTTTCCCTCTTATTATTATTATTATTATTCCTTCACAGCAGCTGTCATTCTAACCCCCTTGGTAGAACTAATCTTTTATTTTTTTTTTATCATGAATTGTGAAGGATGTTAAGTTCCCACTCATGTTGGACGTATATGAGTTGTGCACCCCGGAGCTCCAGGAAAAAATGTTGACGATTAGGTCAAAGTTTAAGGAGATGGAGGACAAGAAACTGGAGAAACAGCAGCAGAAGGTATGAAAAATGGTTTTGAATGTCTACAATTTGGATTTATTTCTCTGTATTAGTACTAATTTGTATTTATTTTTTTTTATCAGGTGTTGACAAAGCCAGATGAATCAAAGGAAGTAAAATATGAGCCGTTCTCTTTCCCAGATGGTATGTTGAGTTATTCTCCCCAGCATTCCATATTTATTTCTCTATGCATAAACATCCACTATAACTTTTTGATTTTTTTTGGATTTTTATTTTAAAATGAAGGTATAGGTATGAGAACTCAGCAGAATCTGTAATTACGATAAGAAAATTGAGTAGAAAACCTGAAAATATGAAGGATCTATTACACCATCAGGCTTAAGAAGATGATGCTCTTTTTTTGTTAATAAGCACACTTTATAATAAATAAAAATCAGATAAATTTCATTTTAGGCAGTACCAAAGTCGATTTTGGTATCCAGATCAAGGCATGTAAGACAAGGGAAGTTTATAGAACATTTTAATGAAGTAAAGAGTAGAAAAGGCCAAACATAATGAGACAAACATAAATTTAAAAACATCCCACAGTCCTTATGACGACTAATGATGATGTGGCTGCAGTGAAAACTGGGCCGACGTTTCACAGGAGAAAGTTCTAGAGGTTCATATCTGCATTCCAGAAGGGAGGCTGTTGTACTCATTAAGGAAAGCATTACTTCCTTCATCTGTAAGACGTTATTTACAAACATATAAAAAATCAAAAAGGTGATTAAGTTCATTAAGGTCTTTTGTAAACTAAGCTTTCAATCCATGTTTTTGCTCAGAATGGAAACTCATTTGATCTGAAATGATTAGAATTGATCTCCTCCCTGTAGACATCGGTTCCAACAACAGCGGCTACTATGACCTGCAGGCTGTACTGACACACCAGGGTCGCTCCAGCTCATCGGGGCATTATGTTGGATGGGTCAAGAGGAAAGAAGGTAACCGCATGTGTTTGTGTAATCTGAATGCCACCAAAGCTCTAATAGTATTGACTTTATAATCTGTTTACAGAATAGATGCTGTAAACACAGATGCTCTTGGCACTCTGACTAAAATCTGCTAATTTCTCACCCAAACCATGAAGAACTAAATAACAGATACATTTTTACCCTACAGTGAACATACCATGTTTCTGGTTTTCCTGCAGAAAAAGGCACAAAAGCTGCACAAAGCTCCTACAGAGGACACAACTTTGATTCAGCCTGAGAGAAAACTGAAAATATTACAGCAGACTGTCATTGCTTTATCCTTGAAAGAGCTCATTTTATTTTTAAACATTCAGGATTAGAAGGTGCTGGCAGTCTATTTAAAATTGTATTGTTGATGTAAAACTCTACTGATGCTACCTAGCATAGCTTCATAGACCCAACATTCTAACCGCTAAGACAGGTAGACGCTTAACAAAGAATATTAATAGGAAATTATGTCTATAAACTCTCATCACATCTCAGCCTGCATCTGCGCCCACATATCTTTAAGTTAGGGAATTAACCTAAGTTTTCTGAAACATGAATGCGCTATCTTAATATGGGGCACGCCGCCAGCACTGTCTCCAGAACTTCTAGTACATTACGCTAGGGATGCACGATATAATCGGCCCCCTATCGGTATTGGCCTTAAAACTGAATATCGGACATCGGCCACCCCACCGATATTTAACCCAATATTCGATCAGCTTCTGAGTTTCCAAAGTCTAAAAAAAATATATATATATTACTACTTCTTCCTCAAAAACTTCTTTTTTACAGACTTAAAAACTTCTAAAGACGAAGGAAAAAATATTGATACATTAAAATATCACAATATCTTCATATGCTGATATATTGCCATTTAAAAACACCATATCAATCTCTTTTACTAATGAAATACTGCTATATGTCATCATTATGCTACGAAATCCCCCAAAAATTCAACAAATGTTGCCATATTTTTATATGTTGATATATTGACGCGGTATCGATCTATTTTACTAACAAAATCTCACAAGAATTTGCAAAATATCACAAGAGTTTGTAACAGAACGATGAAATTTCACGAGATTTTGAAAGTAAAATAGATCGATACCGCGTTTTTAAAAATCAATTTGATATCAGCATATGAAAATGTATACAAGTGTCAGAAATGGATAACAAAACTGCTATTTTCAATGACTACTTATTTTTGTCCAGCTTTAACATCAGTATCGATATCGGTTATCGGCTACATGAGTTTTAAAATATCGGCATATCGGATATCGGCCAAAATCCCAATATCGTGCATCCCTACATTACGCCAGCAGTCTCTACTGGCCAGCAGAAGAGACCTGTTTATAGAGAACCAGGGTTCATTCTTTCACCTAAAGTTCTCTTTCAACATCCGTTTTAGTTTCTCACTATGACTAATTGTGACTACCGTGTTGCCAGATAAGCTTACTAAAGGATCTGAATGAAGAACTGTGTGGTAACATCCAACCTATAGAACCTAGTGAAGGTATGTGGCGTTGCCCAGCTAGAGTTGTACAAATGTCCTTCAAAGGTTTGCCCTGTAACAGTGCCCAGGATGACAACATACCACAAGTGTGATGACCTTATTAGGGGTGAAAGGCCCCTTGTCTCATAGGCCATGGTAATGGCTCCTTCTATCTAAAGCCAGAGACATTGTTTAGTGAGGCGTTTTCTTTTATGTGGTGGAGGCCATGATACAAACAGCTGCTCACATTTCCGGAAAGTTTCTATGCTCATGCAGCTTGTTTTAGCTGCAGGACCTTTAGATGCGCATCAACCACAGACTGGGTGTAAACTAGCTACTGCTGCCATTTTTAATTTATATAAAAAAAAAACAAATCCTAAAGAATTATCGTATTTGTACCTGTTTTAGTTTAGGATCATTTTGTGATTAATTCATGATGATTTGGATGAATAACTACTTGTGAGATCCTAAAGGATAAATATTGTGATCAGTATGAAGTTGTAGAACCATCTATCTGTAACGCCAAGACAAGTGAATTTTTTTTTTTTGTCCTTCAACAGACGAGTGGGTGAAGTTCGATGACGACAAGGTGAGCGTGGTCTCACCAGAGGACATCCTGCGGCTGTCTGGAGGAGGCGACTGGCATATAGCTTATGTTCTACTGTACGGGCCGCGGCGGCTGGAAATACTTGAAGAGGAGCAGTAGCTGGAGGGAGATTTCTTACACAGCATCCATATTTACAGATTGCCATTTCCAAGCACTGTCTGCATAGATGTGCAATAAAACTGGTGTCTTTAAAGATTTTTTTTTTTGTAACCAACACTTATGCTTGTAAAAGAAATTGTGTTAATGTTCAACCATAGTGTGCTTTGAATATGGAGATTGATGAAAGGCAACTCTCTTGACTGGATCCTTTAGATTTTAAAGTCTGGCTCAACAGTTTCTTTAGAGGTTTTATACACATTGTATATTTTTAAAGCCTTTCAAAAGGTGATCACAAGAGCAAAAAATATTTCTCTTTAGCCATTTAACCACGTTTTCCATTAAAATCCCCTCCAAACTGTTGTCCTTGACATTCTGGATTGTGTTGGATTCATAACAGAACACTTGTTCACCTCCTGGGCCTTTGGGTTCAGTCTCAGGTCTTAAGTGCTTGGCACGCTTCATCTCCTGCGATTGTTCTCAAAATGTATTGACAGATGAGGCTCTGTCTGCCAAATATCCATTAATGCTGTTTTCAGGGAAGTGGTTTGGAACAGGTTGGCCTCATGGTGAACCGTGTGGAGGAGCTTAAGGATGCTTGGCTTTGGGACGCTTACTTCAATGTATGTCAAATCCGAAACATCCACTCTCTGTAATAAGTTATTAATTGATTGCTGGTGAAAATAAACAGTTGAAACCAAAGTGTGATTTTATGTGACCTTGAGACAAACATTTTGAAAAAGAGTTTATTAAATTTCTACAGTGAAAAGTTTTGAAACTATAGCACATACGAAAAACAGAAGTTGCTCTGCCGTAATGTTAGAGATTAAACATATTTTACGATTCACTGAGACTGTCTGCAATCTGGGAGAAACCTGAGGCATTAAGAGCCGTCACCAGGTTCTCCACTGTAGCCTGTTGTCCCTCCCTGTCCTGCCAGGCGACCAACAGCAGCTTGGCCTGCATCTCCACGTCTTCACTGTCCGTCTCGATTTCCCGCATCTCTGCTGCCTTCATATCCAAATGAGAAGCCAGCGTCTTCCACTTAGCTCCCAGTTTGACTGCAAGTTCGTCCATCTGCTGGCCCGTTACAGTCTTACTTTGGATGCTCGGACCTTTAAAAGAAAAACAACTTGAAATTGTATCATGCTGAATAGGATGTGTGAAATATAAATTAGATCATTTAAGCGTTTTTTTTCACTAACTTGTTGATTTTAAAACAGATTGGTTTCCCAGTTTAGACACATACTGTATATTGATGCTGAATTAACCCTTTAAAGCCCGATCCAAGAATAAAACAAAACAGAAAATGACTTTTTTTGGTTTGAATTCCTTATTTGCCCTTTTAACAAAATATGTAAAAAGAAAAAACAAAAATAAATTTTTGATATAATTTATTACTATGTGATAAGTCAAGATAATTTTTTGTGTAGTCTTCTACTGGCTGTTATCAGGTATATCTGATTGTGTACAATAAGATTTTGAGCAAAGTTTTTACCATTAAATTATGCAAAAGGTGTCAGATGCAAAACATTTCAGAAACCGTATGTATCAAATACGATACATTTGGCATTATAGGGTTAACTACTGTTACTGACATCCACCACATGAGAATTGTTGAAACTGCTTCAGCAAAGCATGTTGATGGAGAATTGGGATAAATAAAGCTTCATATATAATAGGATGACAAATGTATTGAGAAAATTTATGAGGCAAAATTTATTCAAGACCTTTGGAGAAATTCAGATGGACTAGAAAGGTGGAGTCAGCAATTAAAACATATTCACACAAGATCAGTTCTCAAAGGACACAGGGCTTTTACCTATTCTAAGTCATAATTCATCTTTTGCTATAAACCCTTGATTTTCTATAAAACTCAATTGGAGGTTTCAATAGGCTATAAGCTCAACATGTTGGCATTTTTTGTAGATATTTGTTCAGAAAAAGAAATCCCTCTTGGGTATTTTAAATTATTTTGAAGCGCCTGGAGAGAACACTTGACTTAAAACAATCAATATTCTAGACACAAACCAAGCACTAAAGTTTAACAATAAACCAGGTAATGATTATAACCTTTATTCTTACAGTTGTGTTTGAAAGTTAACATACACTCCCATTGCAGAAAATGATTAATTCACACTAGCAAAACTGAAAGGAATTAATAAAAATAAATGAGAATTTAGTAAATAAAATACAAGTTTTGAGTTTCAGTTTAAAGAGATATTTCAAAATATAAAACTCTGAACATTTCCTAAAAATTACAGAAAACACCTGATTTCAGCGACTGACTCAAAGTGTTGCTCAATAAAATTGAGTTCAGGCTAGTTATTTTAATATATGTCCATATCTTGGTCTATATCCATCTTTTACATTTTTAAAATTATTCTATTTATTAATATTGTCAATTTGAGTTTATTTTACCGACAACTGATTCTTTTGTCTTTAATGAAAAGCTATGTAAACTTCAAAGCACAACTGTATGTGTTAAAAACCTCAAAAATAAACAGCAACCTCACTCCTAAAGCCAGCTGATCCAGCTTACACTGGAAGAATTTTTGCCCTTTTTGGGGCCAATTCTCCAGTCGTGCAAGAATTTTTTTCTATCGAGCCGGGTTACAGCCTTGTTGTGTATTGTGTTGCATACAGGCGGTAACGAGGGGCAACTAGGCTCTCACGACCAGGAATCATAAGGTAGGGAGAAAATCAAACATGTTTGAAATTCAGATAGCCGTCGTAAGACTGCAACAGTGTGTCGAGCCGCACCGTGTGAGAACATGCATCGTGAGCTGTGAACTTTTAAACCCTGCGGTTTCGTCGTACAGTTTGAGCTGTAGCTGCATGCAAGGATTGAATATTGCACAGTGTATGCCCGGCTTTAGTGTAAAAAAGAAGAAAAAAAAATGGGCTGACTTGTCTTGGCTTACTTAAACAATGAAGCAAGAAATGGTCAAACTTACTATCATTGCTTTCTTTAAGAAGATTGTCTCCATTATCGTCATCATCCTCTTCTCCGGTCTTTATTTCTTCTGAAGGGATATCCTTCTGCATGTTTGCAAAACATGGAAACAAAACAAACCAAAATACTAGTTTTTAACATTTGCCTCATTTTGTTTGACGTTTCTAAAACAGGATTCTAGCCTCACCGGCAGCTCTTTGGCCAGTTTGCTGACCATGCTGTCTAGGTAGTCTGCCAGGCTTTTAAACTTCTGGTTAGTTGGCTGAAAGAAGTGTGGACTCCTCCTGGACAGCAGCCTCAAAGCTCGCCAACCGTAGTTTGGGTTACGCACAACCCTGGGAAAAATGAGCATTGTGAGAAAGAAAACGTCCACGGAGCAGAGCAGGCGGATTGGATTGGATAGATGGGCTTTCACATGTTGCTGTTAAAAGTATTAAAAGGTGTCAACTGACTTGTATTCTTCCTCTATCATGTTGACTGGATCAGCCTGCTCGATGGCTTCAGCAAAGAACTCGTCCAGTGATGGCATAAACTCTCTGGGAAAACAAACACCAAATATAATCATCACCTTGCAGAAGTATTTGTTTACGCAAAACTTTTTCAGGTCACAACTACAAACTTCAAAGTATGTTCCTGGTGTTTTATGTGAATCTATGCTTGCTGTGCCCAAATAAGGCTGGGTGCAAACTGCACTCTTGGTTTCGTTAATGAATAGATTTCTTCTCACAACTGTTTGAAATGTTTTTTTTTTTTTTTTTTTTTTTACCAGTAAGTGACTTCTAAAGCCATTAACCTACACTGGGTTAGCGTAAGCGTTATCACAGCAGAAAAGGCCAATTACACTACATTGAAGATTGTGGTTGTAGGATATGAAGTCATAAAGTCCAGAATACCTGCTTTCAGATTTGCAGGCCTCCATGTTGTCGTGGTTCAGGTTCCACAGTCGAGTCAACTCATCGCTAAGAAAACACCAAAGAGAAGGGGTTAAAATTTAAAAAAGAAGTCCTACATCCTGCTGTAGGTCTAATCTAAAATCATTTGGTAGCTTCCTGATAATTTAATGCTGAATCTGTCAGAAGATACATTTAAAATGTAACGGGGCATGGGGCTCTAATTTCCATTAATTAATTATGAGAGCATTTAAAAAATCATAACTGATTACTAATAACTAATCCTACACAATCCATAACTAATTAGAGTAGGGCTGAAACCATTAATCTGATTAATTGTGATTAATCGATTATTGAAATAACTGTCAACTAATTTAGTAATCGACTAACCGTTAACTGGAGTATAGAGACTCTGAAACGTGCCTTTTGCTGACAGACCAACCCACTAACAGCAGCAATTATACCGAAATTGTACAAAAAAACCCCCCAAAAATATTTCGCATTTAAAATAAAATAACTTCTTCGTCTGTCAATATACTCTATCCAGAACTCCTCGAGTAGAAACGTTCACCTGATTTAACTTTGGAAAAAATCTTCTTTAAGGAACTTTTGACTATCTGATTATTGATTAACTGAAAAAAATTATCGACAGATTAATGGATTTGCAAAAATAGTCATCAGTTGCAGCCCAGCATTACAGCATTTGAAGTTTGAATCCAAACCATTATAATAATGGAAAAAAGGAAATGGAAATATTAGATGTCTGATTAAAGTGAAGCTTTATGATCTGTGGGCTGCACAGGACTTAAAAATAAAGATAAGGTAACAGCAGGTGCTGCATGTTTAAAATTTATTTTTTCCCCCTAAAGATTTTAAGGACCTGTAAGAACCCTGTGAATGTTCATAAATCATTAAACGTGACGGGAGTCACCCTGAGCCCTTTTAGCTGATCAGTAATCTGACAGGTTACTAGCGACTTCATCGCTTAATACAATTTCCTTTTCAGCAGCAGTGCTCTCTAGAGACTGACACGGGAGTGGATTTTCACTCCTGTCCCGTCCCACTCCCACAGAAAAAAATTGTGTCCCGTCCCGATCCCGGGCCAGTGTAGAAATCTAAATCCTGTCCCGTCCCACTCCTGGTGAAATTACTCCCACTACAATCCCGCTCTCATTCAGAATGACTCCCGCTCCTGAACCACTCCCATTCGAGTCGAGTTCACCACTAACTGTTGGTCCTTCCATTGTTGTTTTTGAGCGCGGGTGAAAAACTCAGAGCGGAAACACTGTTGGTTTTTGGGTCGTGTAGTTTTTTTGACTCGCATTATAGTGTACCGTAGGCTTCAAGGAAAAAAACTACAAAATGGCGGCGCCAGTACTGGATTTTTTTTTTCTTTCTATTTCATTTTATTTTTGGCATCTATCCTAGTTTTTTTTTTAGTCACTATTGGTTTGCTCCCGCTCCCGTCTGCTCCCGTTAATGTTTAATCCTGTACCGTCCCAATCACGTGATCGTTACTCATACTGACTCCCATCCCACGGGAATCCCGTGACCCGTGGGATTCCCGAAAAAATGTCAGTCTCTAGCGCTCTCCCCTCCTGTTCAGGTGACGTACTTTCCCATGAAAATCTTGCGGTCTGGCCCTTTTCCAAGGAAATCCTCCGGCGCTTGTCTTTTCCTGGTGGGTCTTTTGGGTTTGTCATCAACTGATCTGTTCAAGAGAAGAAGAAAAAAAAAAACACATAACCACTTTTTATTTTGACCTCCTGTAAAAACAAATAGGCACAAAGGTATGTTGATTTAAATAGTTATCATCTACCACTGTAAGTTGGCGAAATTCCTCTCTTTACCTTTCTTTCACAAAACTTGGGCAGCCCTCGTTCTTCCAAGCGTTCCAGTTTTCCTCAGTGTTCAGGATATGCTGCCAAAGATGACAGTTTAATAATGTGACAATACCTGAAGTACGGAAAAAAAAAAAACTGAAAACTGAGGGGTCATTGAAATATTTCTGCAAGTGTGGCTCACCTCCACCATGGTGGCAAACTTATCTCCATCAGGAGGCGTTTCTCTCAGCAGCTAGAAGAGCAGAACAAACCTTATCCATCTAGGTACTAATAACATCTGAAGAATGAAAATACATCTATTTTACTAGATACTAAGGTCAAATATGCACTGTAACCTGACTCTTCAAGGCCACATTATTATTCAGACTTTATTAGAATGTTTTTTTTTTGTACATCAGGCAAAGCAGAGAGAGAGAATACCTAATGGGTCACTTATTTTATAAACTGTTATCATCTTTGCAATCTGTTTCGATTCCTGTTAAAGTAAAAAAAGCCATGGGTTCACACTTATTACATGAGTTTACTCAACAACTAGCATCAGGAGCAGGATCTCTGTGGACAGACCACAAGTCAGGAGGGTTTAGTCAACGTGGGAGCAGAGTCGGCGGTCCATACCCTGTCAGAGGTTAGGAAGTAAAGAAAGGAGGCTCCTCTTTTGACGTCCCTGGCAAATCATCAAAAGATCTAAAGCAAAAGAATAAAAAAAGAGCTGCTGCATGCAGCTGAACTATCTGCAGGACTCAATCTAGAGGAGGTACCCATGTTAACCGTTGCATGTCCAACACGTTATGGGTCCCCCTTTATTCATTGGTTCCTGCAATAAGAACTGTAACTCAGTCCAATTGCAGCAAATTGTACTTCCTAGGTTCTATTTCTTCACCTTTAGTAGGGATAACAGTAAGAACTCTGTTGTGAGTAGTAAAGAAGCGCAGCCTGCTGTGAAACCTTCTGGATGTCATTACGTGATGGAGGGCTTTAAAAATACATCCTCTAATGTGAAGGATTTCTGGATTCCTTCCTAATCACCTGAATGAAAAATCTTGAGAACCCTATGCTCAAGGATGCTTCAAGGATGATCTGAAGCATCCTGCTTCCTCTTCCTACCTCCTTCCTTACTGGCAGCACTATTCTGAAAGCATTTATCATGGCGGCTGCAGATAAACTTCCGGATTGGCTAAAGTTTAGCCAATATCTATAATTATCCTTATTATTATTATCTATAATAATAATAATAGAACTTTATTGATCTTAAATGTAAAAAAAACTCCAAATAAATCTGGAGCTGAAAATGTTTAATGAAATATAGACAAACCTGATAAACTAGCTTAGTTGTCTCCTCAATCCAAGCACTCTGGTCATCATTCAGAACACAGCTGGAGCTGCATCACGACAGGCAGGAATAAAACCATGAATATTCAAACATTGATGCTTTTTTGGCCCTCGGAGCTTAAAAGGAACATAAACACACATATCACCTTTTAAACTTAACCTGGCCCTTCAGATACTGGAAGAGGATCAAGTATTGCAGCAGTATATGCCGCCTGAAGTTGCTGTCGCTAAGCTGCAGGTCCATTAGCTACAAAGAGAGAAGGAAGAAAACAGTCAAGCATAGACCTTTTAGTAGATAAATGTAATTGGAAAACAAAAAAACACATTAGTGCAACCTTTTTATCAATGGTATGGAGAATGAGCTACGAACCTTCTCACTTGTAAGGAACTTAGCAAAGTAAACATGCTCCCCATCAGATGCTCTGAGGTCCTTCATCTTCCTCTTAGATGCCTGCATGTCATCCAGCTTGAAGCTTTTGAAAACTGCAAGGGTCTCATCTGAATACTGAGAAGAATGACAGCAGGCTGGTCATAATTTAATCAGATCCTATTCTCTGGGATATTTTCATTCAATCATATGTAACAAGAAGTACTTTACAAAGTTAATTATTTAATCCTTTACTTTTATATTTGCTCTGATCTGATAGTAAGAAACAATTTTCTTCTGCTTTCATGCTGAAATGGTTTACCTTCAGGAATGTCATCCATGAGAATTTATCATAGCACTGCAGCGGATTCCTAAAGTAGTCTTGCAACGTCCAGAATTTTCTGTATAGGTTATAATCAATTGGGATTGAACTGAGAAAAAAAAGAAAAAAAGGAATAGATTTTAATGCACTTGCCCAGGAAAAAAATAGGTTGTAAGTTTGAATGATAAGTATAAACCAAGCTTAGGGAAAAAAGTTTTCACCCACCAGGGGGCAGGTGCATCATCCTCCCCCATTTCCCCTTCCTCCACCTCCATGCTGTCCTCCTTTTCATCCGTTTGCTGTAAAGATAGGAAGTATGAAAATAAAAGCTGCAATAAAATCATTATAAAATCATTATCAAGAGTCAACATGTACCTTTTGGCCAAGAGTGCTGTCCTGCTCATTCTTGTTGAACACTGTTACATTGTCCAGATTAAACTGGCTCTGAAGATTCAGACCTGCATCAAAACACAGACAACTTTCAAGGATGTTTTTGTCATTTGAAATCATTATATACAAAACATAAAAAAAAAAAAACAGTTCAATTTACCTGACTTTTCAGACAGAGGGAAGAGTCGTGCCAGGAAAAGCTGGATTCGTCCACAGAACACTGTGTTCTGGGATTTGGACAGCCTCCTCAGAAGATCTACACAGACAAAATAAAATAAAGAAGAAACATTGACAACTTGATTGTTCTGGGTATAAAAATCTTTATGGAGGAGATTAAATATTTACCGTTACACATTCTCAACAGGTAATTCTTTCCCGCGCTGTAAAAGGAGCTCTGAAAAATGGTGACACAACAAAAGCAGGCAAACCGTTTAGACAAAGATGCAAATATTTTCACAGCTTGAATAAAGAAAAATGGCATTTTGTTACCGATTTCCAGGTAGAGACATTTTCCTCAACAAAACAAAATATTTTGTCACACATGTCAAGAGGAAGGCAGTCCAGCACATCTCCCAGCAGGACAAAAGGGGTTGTGGCGGAGCAGATTCCTGTACGAAACGCAGAGGAAAGCAAAAGACTAAAGGCCGAGAAGTGCTTGACGCTGACTAGGTCTGTGTGTATGTAATGGAGTGCAGGCTTAAAACATCACATGTATTAGTAGAAAACACAGATGATGTCCACAATGCGTATTTATAGTCAAATTCTAAGATGTTTTCTTTTACAACTATATACCCTCGATGTAAGGAGCTGTTGTTCGTCCACCATGGGTTTTCTTACTGAACTGTGTAGGTACAAGCTTTCTAGGTATGTGTTGAGGATAATCAGGCTGTGCGGACACTGCGTGGAAGTTTGTCTTAAGAATTGAAACTAACATTGACAGAATCTTCCTAAGTATATATTTCAAACACAGTAAAAAAAAAAAAAAAACACTTATGAAAATTAGCTTAAATACTAATAAAATCATACCCTCAGTAACAGCATCAATACTCAGGTAGATGAGAGACAAGTATTCGTCACAGCTCGTTTTCTGCTCAACCTAAAATGCAGACCAAAAAAAACGATCATTAAAGGTTTGGGGGATCTTGTCAATTCAGTCAATGGATAAATGAAAAACTAAATGCCTTACAATCTGATCACCAAGAGCACCCCGGAGGGCCTGGTCAAGTGTGGTCTTCTTTTCTGTCTCACTGAAACAACAAATACAACTTGAATAGCTTGTGGGGTTTTTCACTTTGCCCTCTTTTTTCCCCCCCCTTTATCCAAATGATGCAATATTTAGGTTTTTCTTCACTGCAGCAAGGGGATAAATGGAATTCACTGTTTTAGAAAAAAAATATATATTTAAAATGGATCCAATAACTTTATGTATCTCTATTAAATTTTACTTTTAACCTCTCTTACTGAGAAATCTGAAGCCTGAGATTTTAGCAGTTTATCCACTATCCTAAATTATTGGAATATAATTTATTCCAAATGATGCTTGTATACAATTAACAACATAACAGGTCACCGAGGGCAAAGGATATTGAATTGGTGAATGTAATTAGGTTATATTAACCTGATAAAATAGTTAATGTGTTGCTAATTTCAACATACAGCAGAAAATTCGTTCTGCAACTACAAATAAATAAAGCTAAAACAAAACCCATCAACAATAAGAATATAAATATTGGATAACTTACTTTCCAGAGATCTGGTTGAACACAGTGATTAAATGTTTGCAGGTTTTCCCACAGAGTGCCTGTCTGGCAGCAGCCTGCACATTAACGAGACATAACAATATTAATCAAAAAACGGATTTAAACGAAGCTAACTTTAGCTTAGCTTCAAAGGCTAACTGCTACCGTAAGATATCACAAACTAACTGTAACCCTGAAGACTCAAAGCCTCGTCTTCACAGATAGATAAACAAAAAACGTTCAATTAAATTAATCTCTTTGTGACAGTTATATAAAATAATAGTTTCCTACCGTAAATTTCTCTTTAACGTCGACAAAGTTGAACAAGGGGGGAGACATTTTTACACCGTAACCACCGGAAATAGAAACGAATTACTTCCGGGGTCCCCCCGCCCCCAGATTATTTTGTTCTCCCAGCCGAGACAAAAAAATAAATAAATACATAAATAAAATTATTCTAAAAATAAAAAAAATGAAAACAAAATAAAATCACGTCTCATCGTTCAAGAAAAAACAGATACAATTATTTTAGAATCATTTGTAATACTTAGTGCGGACATGAACAAACAAACATCTTCGTTCACTTCTAAGATAAGAAAAAAAAAAAAAAAAAAACACACATAAACACATGTGGTTAAAGTACCTAAAAAATACTCAAGTAAGAGTAGCACTTTTTTTTTTTTTTTTACTCAAGTAAAAGTGAAAAGTAGTCATACAGGAAAAGACTCAAGTAAAAGTACAAAATATTTGGTTAAAAAAAAAGGTTACTTGAGTACTGAGTAACTTTTGGATACTAACATCAGATTTAAAGATTTAAGAAAAGATTCTGCCATACAGGCTTTATGTGCAAGTTCTCAATCAGTACAATGAGAACTGTATATATATTAGGAAAAGGTATCAAACTTCCAATGTTAATATTTGCTCTTTACTGTATGTTTAGCTGATTTTGGAATGGTTCACATTATTCTCAGAGCAGAGGACAAAGTAGTCAGAGAATTTACTCAGGTAGGAGTAGCAATAATTTACAAGAATATTATTCAAGTAAAAGTAAAAATTATTTGCACAGTAAACCTACTCCTAAAAGTACAAGCTGTCATATGTGGACACACTGTATATACTCTATATATCCCATGCAACTTTTTCTTCCTTTTTCTCCTTTGACTATTTGAGCTGATTATCAATCAATCAATCAATCAATCAATCAATCAATCAATCAATCAATCAATCAATCAATCAATCAATCAATCAATCAATCAATCAATCAATCAATTTTTCAAAATGTTACTCAAGTAAATGTAACTGAGTAAATGTAACTAATTACTACCCACTGGTGTATATAACTAAACTCCACCCAGTGATTGCCAGAAAACTATGAAGCTCCTTCCTTCAGTGGTGCTGCCAGACGATGGCAGACTTTTCTGACTTTTTTCTGTGTGCCAGTGATGAAGAAACATCCGGTGTTAATTCAGTGTTGTTCCATATCTTAATAAATTATTGAAAACGGTCTGCCCAATATTGGGGAATAAATATGTTGAAAGTATGGGGATATTTTTGCTCTTCTTTACTAACCAAAGCCTTCGAAATCCTTCTGATCTCTTTTAACCTTTTTTCAAACTATGACTTTAAGCAGGATATGAATTAGAAATGTTAATAAAAACGAAACAAAGCAAACAAACAAACATACAAAAAAACAAAAAAACAACCAGTTTGTTCCTTATTTAAATTTTTTATTATACCAGATTGGTTGGTTTTCACACACCATCATTCACGGATTACAGCAGATGGTATGCTACAATGTATTTTTCTATTGCAAACTCTTGTGCGCCCAAAAGTGATACATTGAATAAATTCCTTTCTGATGGTGCATGCTGATTATGTATGACTTTTGAATGAGCATGCATAAATAAATATATTGTAGGAATGTGTAATAACAACCAAGCAACCGTCTTGCACTGATAAATGTTGCCTCAGATCTTTACATCAAAAAGACCCCCTTTAATTAACTATATATATTGGTTGAATTATTATTAGTTGATACTAATATTAATAATTGTAATCACGGTCTAGCTTTCTGTGAGCAAAATTCATTCCAACATTGACCACATGGCGGCAGTGTTGCACATAGTTGATTCCACTCCAGTAATTTGAACTTCCAGACTTAAAGACTAAATTGCTATTCGTATCTCTTATAAATGCTGCATTCTGTACACTGTTTTCTAACTTCATATATCCAATCCCTTTTTGTTCATTTTTTTTTACATACTAATGTTATATTATTAATTATATTATAAAATATAATATTATTCATTTTCTAGCTGTGTGACTTTCTAAATTAACTGTTAGAAAAATTAACAGGGCCAGAGGTAAAGTTATGGTGGAGGATGTTCTTTTTCCGTGTGGATCATCAAAATAATTGGTCCTCCTAATTGTCAGTTATTCTCTTGATATGTTTACACAAGGTCGTCCTATGTGCTCGTCCCCATTTTTACTTACCGTTGGTGAGTCTGACATAGTTGAAAAACTGCAAAACGTTTTTGGAAAGTAAGCCTGTATGAGCGATGCAAACAGTAACTTTTAAACAGAGCATGCATGACAAGAAATGGGCTTGTGCACGCTCTCGCACGTGTTTAAAAGGCGTTCCCTGCCGGGAGTGGGTACATGATTGTGGATGTTCTTTTATTTTTTTTTTTAAAGTGGAGAGGACGGGTCTTTTCAAAAAATTCGCAAAAATCCTCCACAGTACCTTTAAGGTCATTTTTGTCATTTATGTTAATAAATAACTCTCCACTGCATCACATGAACCATATTAGTTTGTTTTATACATGTTAGCTTTTATGAGCATTGCATCATGTTCTGGTCACACAGGTCTGTGCTGCAGGGCTTGAATTTTTTTTATTTTTTTTGATACAATACCTTTTTACAATGTCCCAGTACATATCAGGATCTCTGGAACATGACAATTATTAAACTGAAGTTTCCTACTTATCCAAGGAACACGAAAAGATGATCTGAAATTTGCAGTACAGTTCATGACCTCTCTGTTTAAAGCTGACTTATGATTCACTTCCTGCTCCTTGTCAACAAGTGTTTAAATCCTTACTGTGAAATATGAAGTGACTCCTAGGAGAAGAAGTGCTGTAGTTGTCAAATAAGTAGTGTCACACAGAAGGAGTGAGAATGTATTCTTAGGATTCCTGTGTAGTCTGTGGAGCTGAAGATAATGGGTAGTGAGGGATGCTTTCACTGGAACCTTGCTTCTTACATTTTTACCTCCACCCTACAATTTTGCAAAACTTTTAACAGATAGTTGCTAAACCTGATGAGACACAAAAAGGGAGTGAGAATCATCTCCTGTTTTATAGGGAAGGGAAACCTTGTCTTTCTTAACAAAGTAAATTTCCACTAGCATAATTCACAAATTCTATGAAATTATCAATAAGAAGAAAATAAAATCTCCCTGATTAGATTACTGGATCAAATCTGATTTGCTAAAATGCAGAAAAGCTAAATCTTTGAGACCCTTTCCCCCTTAAAATTATAATTTTTCAGTGTTTCTCTAAAAGCAGTCTAAATCAGGTCAGTTCCAGTCTCCCAACCGTTTCTTTTGCCAAGACGAATAAAATGAAAAGAAAGCCGAACGGTGTCTGATGCCAAGTTCCAGACCAACCCAGTTCAACTGCGAGAGCCAGATAATTTGATGAACACTCCGAGAAAAATTAAGTTGGGGGTAACAAAAAGAGCATTGTCTATGTTGTTGGAGACAAACTTCAAAACAAGAGGCGAAACACAATGCTCTGACCCCTGAGGTTAAACACACAAAGGAAGAGGGTTTTAAACTAGTCCTGTTTGTCACATGGTGCAAATTCCACCATAAACAAAGCATGTGAAGAAGAGCCACTGTCATATAAAGAAGATGAACCCATTTTTAGATTTAACACCACGCTGCACCTCAGCTGTGAGCACAGGATGAAGCCAGATGAAGGTCTACATACAGAGCGAGGACCCATATTTCTAATTAGATTGAGCCAGCTGTTGTGTTTGAATTTAGTGATGGATGCTAATTCCTGTTGTCTCTAAAGCAACTTCCTATTTATGCTTCAGCTGCAAACTGTCTATGGATTTGTATTTGGTAAAAGCTGCATTATAATTTCTTGAATTAAAAGAGTTAGATGGATTTTTCTGTTGCACAAAAGGGGACATAATATGAGGCACTACTTTACTGCCTCATAAGATTTTTTTGGGACATTTCGTTAATGATCTTCGCACACGGAGGACAGCACCATCATGTTCACCCAACCGCCCAGCTATTGTGATTGGTGCCTAAGCTAACAATAACTTATGTGTATTTAAACGACCTTGGTCGGATTGCCCTGGCAGTATTTCTCTGTTGATGAATGTCCAGTTATGGAGCAGCTTAAAGTCATTTGATGTTTATTCAATGATTAGCTAGGGGTGTGGAGATCATGAAATATCCACAAGCCATAAAACAGAATGTGAGAGGGGCCACGTGTGTGGATAGAGAGACAACATTCTTGTGTCAGAGCCAAGCGGGAAATCTCCATGATGGCCCCCATCTTGTATAATCAAGGTTGTTGTTTTTTCTTATTATACAAGATGGGAAAATTGAAAGTGTTTGTTTATCTAATTACCTGACCCAGTAGACAAGGTTATTTGAATCACACCCTCCAAGGCATAAAACCAAAAAGTGCCATATAGGTTAAAATATTCCAGCAGTAAGGTAGCATAAATTAAAAGAAATTGAATTTTTAAAAGTTTTTAAATGGTCTTTATTGAGTAAAACACAGTCCCCAATTCTGGGGTTGCAACTGCAGCATTGTTGTTCCACGGCCTATTAAATAACAAGGCATAACTGTTCTACAACATTTATTTTTTAACAGATATTGTTCATATTCTTATGTGCATTCGCCCCTTATTCAGTCCTATTGTGATATTATCTCCCATCCATGCCTTCATCCCTTCTTTCAACAAATTGGATCCAAAATCGTGTTAACTGGCTCTACTTAAGCTCTTATTAGTGCATGCAGAATGAATGTAGTTGTTAACTATTAGCAAAAATACAGATGAATAAACCAACTTATAAAGAAATAGCAACCACAGACACAAGTTGATCATTCAAATGATCTTAGTTTCATCAAAAAAATCCCACATATGAGGTTTGAAGCTGATTTTTTTAACTGCATTCGACGAATAATGTCCAGGGACATATTAAAGATGTCATGATACAAAACAACTGCAAATGCTTTCTTATTTTTGTTACTTTTCACAAATTTCTGGCTAAAGATATAACTGGACTAAGTGGGACAATAATGCAATAATAATAATGTCACCTGTACAGCTTATCTGTAAATGAAGAATTCACTTTCACTGAACTGAAAAACTCCTGAAATTAGTTTTGGAATATGTAGCTAGCTCACACGTACAGGCTGTGCAGAGAACCTTCCTCCATCAATTTTTAAATCATAGCACCTGAAAATAGAAGGCATTAGAATCCGAGATGTGTTGACTGACCCAGATCCACCGTCCTTTAATTACGTTGTTATTTATGTCATTGTGACATTTATTCAAGGCCCGGTTTATTTGCAAGAAGACATTCTTTTCTGACACAATTGTAGATCCTATATTGGAGTTGCAGCTGGATGGAGTTCTTAAATTTTATAATGTAAGTCAGCATTTGCAACTTTGATGGCTGAGCAATTGGCCCAACGATGAGACACGCACGTACTCGCATTATTATGTAATGTTGCAGTGTTGTTACCTGAGCATTCGCAGGAAAACTATGTTGCATAATTGATGCTAACAGTTCCTCATCAAGTAAACCTGAGCAGGAAACACCAATAGTTATAATGTAAATAAAGAAACAGATGCATAAACTAGTGAAAACTTCTTTTAAGATGGACCAAAGTGTCAGTCTTTATTTCTTTTTTTATATCAGAAGCGTGTAAGTTCACCTAAAAGTAGAATGTCATGAAACATTCTGATTTAGCTTTGCAGAAACGTGAACATATGTTTTTTTTCTTTAATCAATACTGTAACAATATTTCCACACGTCTAAAAACACCTGTATCAGATTCTCACAGGCTTATAACAACAGCAGAACAGTCAGATATATATATATCTGTCAGTTTCAACTTCTGAAGTACACTTAATCAATGAAAAAAATAAACACTATGCATGTAGTTTATTTTATTTTAAGTTTATGCCATGTTATAAAAATAGGCAATAACTTAAACATTCAAATTGCATCAAGCCCTCTCTACGTCCTCTCAAAATCAGACAAAGGAAGATAAGATTTTATCTTTGCAAGGATCCTTTTATAAAAGATGAAGGATCATCCATCATCCAGGTTTTTTACAAACAGACAACAGAGGGAAGACAGGGCACCAACTACACTGTGGTACTTAAGCAGGGCAGGGGACTGCACAGACCAAGCACAGGAGACTCAGTTTTTTCCTCGTTTAGATAAAAAAAAAAATGCCTTCTGGAAAATATGTACAGCAGACAGGCTGTAATTTGTAATTACTGCTAGACAGATTTGAATGTTGTCTTCAAAACAATAAAAAAAGGACTTTGTGACTTTCAAAGATGAAACCCAGAGGCAGCAAATGCAAGGTAAAAACAACAGGTGCTAAAATCAACCCCTGCACACACAGAGGAGGGAGTGCTGCTAAAAGATTAATTGGAAAAAAATCTATTTGCCAGATAAGATCAAAACAAATTTAGTGCTGTACCTTAAATACCAAAAAGTGAATCAAGACAGGTCAAAGACAAATCTAAAAAGAACTTGATTTTCCAGCATGATAGTTCAAACAGTCATTTATAACTTTAAAAGGACAGTTTCAGTGCTGTACGAAATTTTAAAACCAGACTGTAACCTGTTAACAGGACAGTTATTAACTACATATAACAAATATTAACCCCTCAGATCTTTATGAAATATGGAAGAATTGAATAAAAAATAGAGAAATAAAAGCAGAAAACCAGTTAAAGGCTGCAAAAGACTCGAGACAGGAACATTTTGTAACAATAAAATGATTTAATCAATATTCATGTAATAGAATGGCCTAGTTAAATTCCTGAATCTATTGTATATCAGTGGCAAAATTTGGAAATTGCTGCATGTAAAACTTAATCTAACTTAGGTTGATGTTTTTTTTTAAGACAAATGGGCAAAGACAGATGTGCTGAGGTTTTAGAGATTCAAAACAAGATATTTGAAGCTGCAATCACATCTAAATGTGTTTTTTTAAACCACTTCAACATTTGTGCACAACTTGTTGATTTATCACATAAAGACTCCAATAATCTCTATAGAGGTTTGTGTTTTCAACTTGGTAAAATGGTTTAACATTCAAAGGTTATTATGAGTTTTGCAAAGCAGTAAGAGTGACACAGCACCATGTGCTTAAACAAATATGCTTTATTTGTCCTATAATTGTCCTTATTTCTGCCTGACAGACCTGCTCCTTTGATCAAACCACATCTGCAATAGTACCTAAAAGTGCCTCCTTCTCTTTTTCCTGGATTGTACCACAGCCGAGCATAGTAGATCAGATCAGATCCAAGCCTTTGTTTTGTCACACAAGAGCTCATCTTCAGTTGACAGCAGGTCATTATACAGCCGCCCAGCTTCCACACAGCTGCTGCTTCCAGTAAACCTGAAAAACCAACAACACAACATTCATGTTCAAACTTAAACAGAAATTTCTTAGTTTTCATTTTTAGATACAGGATCATCTAAAATATCACTGGCAACTAGGATTGAGAAGCAATGATACTACATCCTGCACAATTGTTCTCCAAGCATATCAGGAGAAACAAAGCACATCAGCCAGATCACACTGAGCCAATCTATTGTACGAGGCCTCTGTGAAATGGAGGAACCATCTGCTAAATTAGTGACAAGGGAAATGAAGGAATGTTTTGATTCATTCACCCCAGCAAGGTGTCCCACCCCTACAGAGCGACCAGTGGTTACAGACATGTACCTGCCAAAAATATTGTCAAGTATCAGTGAGAGATAAGATAATAACACTGACACACATTTGAGTGGGACTGTAGGTCAACATTTTCTCATGTACTGATCCATTGAGCTGCAAAAAAAAAAAAAGAAAAAAAAAATTCCCATTTTCCTATTCTGTTACGATCAGACATGATTTTTACATTTTTCCTGCATTTTACTCAAATAAGCCACTGAGAAAACTGACAGATTAAACAGAAGTGTTAAGCCTCCAATGATCCTTGCTATACTGTTTGCACGGAACCAAATATGCTGCATAAATCTGCGAATTTACTTTTTTTTTTTTTTAAATCAGCCTGATTCACAACATGAGATTCTGAGGAGGTCAGCAAAAGTTTGCAACCACAAGTCTTTGATAAAAGACGGTTTGCCTCTGCTGCACACAAACAACAGACCTCAATATCTCACATTTAGCAGTTAATCACCAGTTGTCAGCAAGTAATGCAGTCCTAAAGGCTTGAACACCACCTTTTTATGTAACCTGATTAAACTGTCTGCATTCTCTCCAAATTCCACCCAGTCCTCGCACTAAATTTAATTTATCTAAAGAGGCGTGAGTCAGAAAAAAAAAAGGATTCACCGAGAGCTTGTTAACACTGAGCAAATGTGTTTTTTCTGGCTTAAGACTATGCAAAAACACCCTGCTAGCTGCTGCACTCACCATCTGAGCTATCCAGGATATCAGGACGCTGTGCCTGTCAGTCCTCATTAAGCTCAAATCGATGCCAGAATTCAAGTAAGCTCCATTACCATGACTGGTATTGGGTCCAGGTGGCAAAGACACTAGTAAATTACTTTAAGGTAATTTGCAGGGATTTCATGATAGGCCACCTGGTGAAAAGAAAGGTCACATGTCTGTATTAAGATTCTTCAAAAGCAGTTTTCTGGTACGGTGTGCCTTTTCTTAAGAATCCCGCCACGTGTTTTGGTATATGTCTGGTTAAGATTTATTCAGCTAATGACTAAAACTTTCCTCAGTTTGTCTTTATTTAAAAAAAAAATGCTCTGTCATACTGGAAGGAAAACATATATGAAAACTACAGCAAACGTCCACCCTAACCTTTGATCCAAACTGTTAGTATCGACCTGTATGTAGTACCCTGTATTTAGTTTCTGCAGAAGTATTATCTCCACAGCATTATACTGGCATCATGGTGACATTCTGTTATGGTTTTCCTCTAAATCACAGATGTCAACCTCCAGTCCAGTCCTCAAGAGCAGGAATCCTGCACCTTTTAGATGTGTCTCTGTTTCAACATGAAATAATCAGGTCATCAGTATAACTTTGCAGAACCTGACTGCATGCTAGGGGAGTAATTAAGCCATTTGATTCAGGTGTGTTGGATCAGGGATATATCTAAAGATTGCAGGATAGCCTTTGAGGACTCCCCTGCTCTAAATGTGAACTAGTCCACTATTTTAGCTTTCAGTCCCATCCAACTATACCTACAGAGTCCACGGCCCCTTGGGTAAACTTTTTATAAATATCCTCCTTGGCTTGCCTGACAGGTTAGGTAGACGGTGACATCCTTACCAGCTTGCAGCTCTGTCATACCCCTTCTATCTTCGGATAAAGGACTGAGCAGTTGAGAAGTTTCTTTATAAACTCAACCTGCATTAAACTCCCCTTTAACCTCTTTTTTGACTTGTTTGATGTGTTTCTTCCTCTGGATGATGACGCAGTATTTATTCACAGACAAAAAATAATTAAAATAAAGGAAAGTTGTATTCATACTTGAATGCTTATCCTCTATGTAGAAATGAAGTGTAATGGGGATAAAAAAAAGCTGCAAACTACTCTTTTCTCATAATGATATCTAGGAAACATGAAAACACCTCATTTAATTGTGTTTCCACCTCCGAGATTTCCTTTTACACTTTGTGCTGGTCTAGCACAAACAATTTAGGTTATTAAAGCTTCTGGTTGTGAAGTATAAATTCACAAGGAGAACGCAGAAGAGCTATGAAGGTACTGTTGTTAAAGCTGAAATCATTATAGCCCCTTGTTGCAGAGAAGCCAGCAGATATTTCATTAAACGTTCAGCAAGAACATTTTCTCCGAACTCTTCATTTGGATCTCTCGCATGCTGCTCAGACAACCATAAAGCAACATGGTGTAAGCAGGGTTTATGTGGCATCTTAGTGATGTTAAACTAAACCGAGGCAATACATATGGTTCTACCAGCGACCCAGCAGGGGGCATTGTGTGTAACACTGACCTTACCTCATCAGCCCACCAAGAAAACTTTGACTGGAGCAGGAAGGGCTGAGACCTCTGTATTTCTGAACCTTTAAATGATCTTTATTTCTCCCCTGTTCAGTACTTTTCCATTTAGCTTAAGGCTGAAATGAACTGCTATCAATTGTTAACCTTGTAGGTTAGAAATACAAAAAAACGTTTGATAAACAGTTCATAGCAATTTCCAGAAGAGGAAAAAATATTAGATGGAAAACAACGATTAAACTTTGACTACTCTTATAGGTAAGAGACTTAATTAGTAAAGTGACTCAGTTGACAGCAGGTTTAATAACTTCATAACTGAGGCAGTAAGCATCACCCCATTCGTTAAACAGCCATCTCACTTTAGGAAATAGTGCCAGACTTTACTGGGGCTGAACTGTGACAGACATGTGTAGAGACCATAAGAGACTGCTTTCATACATCCATTGTCCCAAATAATCAAAAAGCTACATTTGATTAATTTTACTACAACCAAAATCTTGGAATCCATAATGTATTTCTTGCATCACCAAAAGTTTGATTGAATGTCAATTTTATCTCACAGGATCAATGATTGTTTTATTTCTGCACCAGTTAAGCATTTAAATCTTTACCATCTTACTTAATGGGTTAAGTCTTCTTGATTTTTTTTATCCTGTCCTCATGGCATTCATATTCTATTTTTAACCACAGGCAAGGCTGTGCCGACTGCTTTGAAATTAACATTGGTAATTTACTGCTGAGAAGGATATTTGACCTTTGGAAAGCACGAGAAGGAAACCAGACTCCTGCTCTGCCTTTCTGTGCAAAAGAACTTGTGGGTTAAAGGGTCATGCCACCTCATGTCATCCTCTCTGAGGAAAGTAAGAGGAACCTTTTAAAGCATCACCTTTGCCTCTACTGACGCTGCTTCGCATCCCTTGTTTTTCTATATCCAACAAACTGTATCTCTATTATATTTGGCCCCTGAGTTACATCCTCCACTAGAATAACTCAATCTATATTGAATGGGTTTCGGCTATGAATCTCACAAACACAAGTGTTTCATTAACCAACAAAGAGGTCTAATGAGAAATTCAACCTGAAAAACTCACATGGAGAAAAGGGCAATTAAAATAGTTTTATTGATTCATATATTTTAAGTCTTTGGCACTCAGACCTCAGTGGAAAACATTAGCTCTGAAAGTTACTTCGTTAATGTGCAAGAGTAGATGAATGAGAACAGGGGTGTATCTCCCCAGGTCTTAAACTGGTGATGGATTGGAGATAGAGTGCAGAGGAGTTTGGTCTATGGACCGCAGGTTCAAACTTGAGTTTCAATGTGAGACTGGTAGATTGCGTTAAGCTGACACCCAGGGAGAGCCTGGTTCTTGGAAAGATGGATTGCCAGCCTGGATAAATGCAGGTTTACATGAAACTTCCATGATGAGCAAGAATAAAGCAACCATGGAGCAAGAAACTCCCCTTGGGGAGAAGCCTCTGGCAGAACTAGACCCAACATGACAGTTGTCTTCCGGAAAGACTTGGGATGCCTATAGGAATGCCAGAATTTCCAGAGAGAGTTAAACTTCCAATAGGGACGAGGTAGCAGAAGCCGCATGAAGAAAGAGTCAGATGGAGCTTGGCACCAGTCGTGGAGGTGGGTTGAACCAGGCTCATCTGAATCAAAGTCAGACATGGTACGAACCAACTGGGCGAATGCTTTGCTTTGGCAACAGGCTGATTTGTGGATTTGAAAGCCTTTTAAACTGAGCTCTAAATGCTGATTGGGCTTCTAGGAGGTGTGGTCCAATAGTGGTTGATTGCATCAAAGAGAGATTAAAGCTGCAGTCTGTAACATTGAGGAGAGAGCAGACTTCGACTGAAAATTTGAAGAAAAAAAGGTTTCACTCCACTCCCCCACCCTCTCTGCTTCACTCATGCCCCACCTCCAAGCTCCACCCCTCTCACAGCATCTGCGCGGCTACCGCATGCGACCAGAAGGGGGGGCGGGATTCAGCGTGTGTGAGCTGTGATTGATACTCCATCAGACGCTCCTCTGGCTGTGATTGGTTGTTTTTACTCGTCCCGAATGATTCTTTCCAGATTGAAATACAGGCAGTAGGCGGTACCAATTGAAGCAGTTTTTTTCACAGGTTACATATCACATGTACTGCTGTCTGGGCATAGGGACAGTTTTAGCCAATATGACAAAAAAGTGATTTTTAAAAACTTACAGACTTCAGCTTTAACCTCTGATTGGATGGGGTAAGCAATTCAGTTTATTTAGTTGAACTTCCACCTACTGTATGGCTCATTATTATGCACTAATTAGGGTTAATTTGTAGTAGTTTTGGTGCCACAAGCTGAAGGATCAAGGCTGGCAGGAGGGGTATCTGGGACAGGAATGTGTTTTGTGCTGGGTTTGGTCTGAATATTCCAGTGAGGACAGACAGACAGTAACTGCTTTAAAACAACAAAGCATTTCATCTTTGCTGACAAATTTATGGCAGATAATTAAGAATGACAGTAGTTGAATGTTCTAAAGTGGTAAATACAAAGGGCTAATCTATTTCTGCCTAATTTTAACCAAAATCTTTATTTTTCTAATGTTGTCCTAATATCACACAACCCTTTTATTTTCTTTTATTTGTTTAAGATATATTAAAAATAAATGTGGTTTAAAAGCATTTCATGTAAATCCATATCAACTACAATGAACAATGAAATAAACAAGTTTTCTGAGTTTACATCTGCATGTACTCTCCCCAGCTAATTGATTGGTCAGAAGGGTGGCTTTCATCCGACTTGGGGAAAGATCTTCTCTCTGGTTATGGGGAAGAATTTCAGAGCTTATTAAAAACTGACTTTGATCTTCTGCCAGTAGGAGCATCACATCCTCACCCTGGCCTGAACTCAGTTGTAATCTTCATAACTTTAGAATTTAGGATAAAAAATGGATATGTTAAGAAATCCAGACTTGCAATCATACAAGTGTTCTTAATTTGATGGTATTGTGATAGATAGGCACCACTGTGATTAAACAATGCAAAAGGGGAAAAATCACAAATGAACGATCAAAGTGTTAACTGTTAAGCAATGTAAACTAGTACTTACAAATTTTGCGAAGTGCCTTCCATGGGCTACAAACACATGATGCTGTGTTACATTATCATGATGAATAATCCCTGTACCACACTACATAGTGGTGTTCATTATATCCATCCGAGCTGGTAATCCAGAGACCAGATTAGTCCAAAGACATCTGTGTTGCTTTCATTTGTTCTGTTGAGAATAAACCAAGCTACTGACTTTGTCTGTGTGTATGGTCTTCCTTAAATAGGTCTCCTGATCACATATTATCTAGCTATTACTTATTGCCCATCACATTTTTCGCAGAACTGTTCATGGTCTGTTACCACCCATGATGACATCAACTGCTCTTGTAAAAGACAGATTGCATACAGTTGCAGATTTTGTAGCAAAACTGCAGCAGATGTTTTTTTTTTTATTTAATCTGATCTACTGCGGTCACTAACTCTGAAATAATCTAAGGGTCTATTAGAAAACTGTGTTATTTTGCCCCAACAAAACATAAAGAGCAGACTGGTGGAGCTGAAGCAGCCCAGGCTCTTTGAAAAAGAGTTGAAATTCTGAGAAAACTGCCAGTTCCTCGAACACAGGCAGGGTCAATACAAAGTGTAAAGGCCCCCGCCACATTATTACTGTGAATTCCTAGAAAGCTGCCCTCTGGAACATGTACAGCAGGAAGTGACGTTATTGTGAATCACACAGCATGCATACAATAAAAAAACATGCATCAGAGCTTTCATCCTAGCTTTCCCTTTTATTCCTTTATACGTTTATTATGGATCAATTAGCTTATGGTTGCAACACAAGGAAATTCGGAGAAAGAGAGATATGGAATTGGAAAAACAAAACAATAAAGATAGGTCAATAAATCGACAGCTTCAGTACACTGAATTCTTAAACAATGAAAATCATTATAATGTGTGATGAAGGTTTCTTAAAGTGATACTCACTCAATGTTGAACCAAAGGTCAATGTCTATTTATCTTTCATCAAATGGAAACTAAAGAATATACTTTTTTTATTTTACATGTTAAATTTGATAAAAGAATAAATGATCCTCAAATTTATGACAAATGAAAACCTTTACTGGTCCACCATTCAATGCAGCTACTGCCACAAATCCTTTGGTGTATCTCTCTAGCGGTTTTGCAATGAAGAACTGAAATTTGCATCTAAAGGCTACAAGAGAGGGAGTTTATTGCCGTTTTCTATTTGAAGGATATTGGAAATCGAGCAACTATATTAAAAAGGAGATTTTGAAGTCTTTCCCCAGACTCTAAACTAGAATTAGATCTGGAAATTGAGTGGGTTATTCTTTTACTTAATGGCTGAATTGGCTGAATGTTTTTGGTCTTTGTCCTGCTGGAGGGTGAAGCTTTAAACCAATCTAAATTCCCAAACCTGTTCATCTTTCCTTCAAAATTTGACAGGTCCCCCATCCCTTCTATAAAGAGAAAAACATGAAGTCTTAGCTGGTATAGAACAAATGGTAAAGAACTATTTGTTCTATACCATTTGTTGTCGATGACTGTGAGGTATATTATTAGTAGATGTGAGAGCATCTGATGTTGTTAGTTGTTTTTTTTTTCTGATTAATGCTCCTCTCTTCATCCTAAAAGCACACATTGAAGTTCCTGACTGATGAAAACATTTTTAAAAATCGTATTTCAATTATTGCAATTAATTACATTTAATAGACTTCTAGAAATATAAAGATAGATAAAAAACATGTATATGTATTTAACAACGTTGAGGAAAAATAAAAATTAATCAAAGCAGCATGTCAAGTTCAAGCATAGATAAAAAGTGGAAAGTTGGTCAATTAGAGGGTGGATAGGGCAGCACCCTGACAACCATTGGCCAATAAGTTAATTAGGCTATATTTTTCAGTATTTCTTATTTTCCATAAGAGGAACATAAATGATAGAATTGCTCAGCCAAGTGAAAGGGCATAAACTTGTATAGGTTTTCACAAACCAAGCATGTAATTGCCTTCCTGCAGGGTGTCTGAGAAAACAGGCAGAAATTGATGCAACAGCAATACATTGAGCAGACCTATCCAAGCAGGGAGCCCTTTTGAATTTGAGAGAAGAGGTAAAATTTCTCATACATATATGTCAACATTTCATATTCTACTTTTGTTTTATTTCAAAATCAACAAAATGAGGTTTAATCTTAAGAAACAAAATAGATGTCTGTGGGAAAACTATGGCTCCTTTGAAACATGCAAAAAAGGAGTTTTAGCAGAGGAGCACTGTGCAAGCTTTGGTTTCTACAGCTTGGCAGTGTAAATGTCTACACATATAACATGAGCTCCAGTTCATGTATTATAATAACGGACACAGACAAAGATCCCTTAGGGATGCAGAGGTCTGGACCCTACTAAAAAAAAAAAAAAAAAAAAAAAAAAAAAAAAAATATATATATATATATATATATATATATATATATATATATATATATATATATATATATATATATATATATATATATATATATATATATATATATATACCTTGCTGCCTCTGTAGTTACAGTGGTTTTAATCCATACCAACTACTATCACCCCAGTGCAATCGGAGATAACTAACCTCTAGAAAACATATAGCAATTATTTCAAAGAAACATATGGTCAACAGAAAACTTGCTAAATTTTTTATGAGGGACATTAGTTACATATGTTTATGTAATATCCAACACTATAAGAGACATGGTTTTTAGAAACTTTTACTTTTTTGGGCATTGTTTGAAAGAAGTGCGGAGCATTGCAAACAGCTAAGCACTGTGTGGTGACAAAGAGCAGTATGTGACAAAAACACGGAAAGGAGAGGGCATGGAAAGTGACAGTAGTTTCAGGTCTGACCTGGAGATAATCTAAATTATTTCAGTTTAGAAAACTTAGACATAGTCAGTGGATTAAGAGCCAATAGGAAAGTAGACTACTGCTACTGTATTTGTTTTTATCTTCTGTAAGGACCTGAAATACTTAATGGGAAGTATATAAAGATGGTGGGAGCTCTGTCAGTGCTGTTGTTTTGTGCTAAATGAGTCGCTGGTAAGAACACTGTCAACACTTCAAGATTGTGTGAACGTGTGAATAAACGGGTGAATGACTGAATGCAGTTTAAAGCTCTTTGGGGTTCTTGGACTTGATAAAGAGCTTTACAAATACAGGCCATTTACCATTTCTCATTTACAGTGCAATTCAAAACAACCTCTTTTCTTACTACAGAAAATGAGACTTAAACATAGATACAATAAAGTGCTAAATTAACATGGTTACTTTATTGTGGAGGCTTGTCAAACTCTAGCTTTTACTCGTTTTGCTGTAGAATTGCTCGTAGGTTCAACTTTTATGAAATTATAGACATAACAGTAAAGTTTTTTGTTTTAGTAGTTTGATTGCTGCTGAAATATCTGTTGCTGTTAGTTATTTTCTTATGTAAAATCTTTTCTTGTCTTTGTTTTGTCCTACAGCAAATCCTACAACAGGAGGAAAATAAAGTTTAATCTTCAAATCTGCGAAAGTTCTCCGTCATCCAGGTCATGGTCAGGCTGGAAAAGTTCTTGTAGCTTGAAAACTTACCAAATGAACAGACACACCCCAAATAAAACAAGAATAATCTTGTTCTACAGTTGAACCACAGACCAGGAAACAAGACAAAAATAGCTGAAGATGGGAAATTTAAGAGAAACACTTAAAATCCCACCTATGTTTCAATTTGTCAACAAAACATGCAGAGAGATAATTTCTGACCTCAACATTGTTAATTTTCTAGAATCTGACAGCAGAGAAGAAACGTGGACTTCTAAAAAGAATCATCTTCATCTGTGAAAGCTGATTAGCTATGAACGATCACGTAAAATAATAACATAGGCTTATGAAAATGTAAATTTCTGAGATTTTACCAAATACATTGCTGGGTAGTAATGGATGCTTATTATTCTGATTCAAACTGATAAAAAAAAGTTCTGTAAAACCAATTTTTTTTTAACCAAATAAATCCACTTAGCCATAATATCTTCTGCTATCTTCTTCTTTCTCTAAAGAAATATAACCCACCTGAGTCATATCTCAGACTCCCATGCAGTTAAAGGTGTTTCTTCTTTATCTGCATTCCTTTGGGTTCATGCTCTTTGAGCTGCTGGGTTCATCTTTTTAATGAAGCTGTCCACCTTGCTCAAAGTTTCAAAGAAACCTTATAAGGATTCACATACCAAAAAATTATTGGGTAACCACGTTCAGTTTGTATTTTAATGTCATTTGGTTAATATAAAGCACTTAACTCTTATTAGTCATAACCTAATTTTAAATTTCACTTCTTCAAACTATCAATCCTTGAAATCTGAGTTTAAAAGCTCAGTTGCAACAGTGTCTGGGAATAACCGCACAGTGTGTCTTTTATTGTACTATTTTATTTTACATTGTATTTAATTGAACTAGCAAACCAACTCTAAATACTTTTTTTTTTTATAGTGCCCTGAATTAAGACATAGTTTCCAGCTGCCATGCTCTGCCCCACCCCCTACAGAAAAAGGTTTCTTTCAAAATAGCCACGAAATATTTTCTTCCTTACTGTCCTTGCAGCAGTGGCGCAACCTTTTCTCTCATATAGTATAAATTCTTGTGCACTGCTGGTAGAGAGTTAAATACACATCTTCTATTTGTCCCTTCACTCTGGGTCAGACAGCGGCTCCATATTTAGAGGCTGGTGAAGATTAATTACTTTTTTCTAACTTGCTCTAGATTGACTTTACTACCCGCACGGACTCATTGCTGCATCAGCACAGCGGATTTTTGGCAGACATGATTAATTTATAGACTTCCTTCACCTTTAAAAATTAAATTACTTGCCCTACAAAAAAAAGGTGATCGGTCTGCAGCCTGCTTGCTGTGCAGGATAACCAATCAGATGTTAGTTTATCTTTCTAGGGACGTTGCAGCAATTATTTCATGTTGTGTTTTAGCACAGGAAGCCAAACATTTAAACACTTTAACCATATATTTCATTAAACTTTTAAGGACATACTTGCAGAGGCGTAGCCAGAAAAGGGTGGCTAGGCAATAACCAATGTAAACTGAGGGGGGGCCGAAAGGAGATAGGCACTAAAACCTCACGGTCAATCTGCACTGTTCCAAAGGGAAAATGAATTAGCAAAACATCCATATTTTCTAAATAAAGACAAGCTATATTTTCCCACAGCCTTTGGTAACAAATAGATGCATATATTCAAACATTCATGCTTTCTAGATAAAAGGTATAGAGGATAAAATTCTTTCAGGTTTGAGTTTTGGGCCGAACATCTTTTCCATTGTCTTTACTTACATACTTTTATCAGTAATTATTCTGCATAAAATTGATATTTACAAGTACACATAACTACATAAATTGATTATTTATTAAGTTTTTATTAAAATAGTTATTTATCTATGATTTCACTGAAGACTCCTAGATGACTTTTCTGTTTACCACATAAAACACAAAATCTATTTCTGCTTAAATTCTGTATTTATCATCTTTAATGTTAGTATATTGATGTGCATTAAAAACCACAGTGTTTATGTTATCAATTAATTGTTAATATATGAAAAAAAATTTTTTTCCACTTGAGAGTATTACTGTTGCCACTATTAGAGGGAAATAATTGGTAGGGTGGCCACAGGGGTGGCCAATGATTAGCTAAGGGTGGCCATGGCCACCCCTGGCCCCCCATCTAGCTCCGCCTCTGCATACTTGCATATCATTTAAATATACCCCAACTAAAAAAAAATCATGTATGCTGCTCTAGAGAGTTTTAGAGGGGCTGGTGTCTATCCAGTGGTCATTAAATCAGAGGTAGGGTGCCGGTTCAAGCCCCAGCTCTGTCTAACACTGTAGCTGGGTCTTTGAGCAAGACTTTTAATCTGCTTTGCCAGTTGTCGGTGGTCAGAGGGCTTAGTGATGCCAGTGTACGTGGCCTTGTCACCATCAGCATGAATGGAGGAATGACTGACTGTGGTGTAAAGGGATTTTCCATTTACCTCTTTAATATGCTTCGAATATGTGAATATTTGGTAACTTCCTACTAGTACGCTGAGGGTGGAGGCATGTCTAAGATATCATTGTTGTTTTACTCGGCCATTATTTTTTTAAGTATTGACGTGTGAAAGGTTTACAGCACGTAAAATAAATAAAAGGTCTACATTATTTTCGGTTAAATAATAACAACAAGATGAAAAAGTTACAATTGTTCAGGTTAAGTGTTTTTGTTTATTTTACTTAAAAAAAGTGAGAAATTCAAGTGGACACAAAAATATCTTATCTGTCAGCAATAAGAAGTGATACAGGTATATAGAAATGTACAAAAATGGCTCAAGATACAATACTGATATGGAAACAAAAGTTTTTTTTCAAACTGCTTTGTTTGGATTGCAATGCAAGAGGGGGACATTCAAGCACCAGTTTGAATGAAAAGTTTGCACTGGGTCAACAACAAAAAAGTTACCAGGAAGTGATGCTAAATCACCTATAAAAAAAAAGAAATCTCATTGGTTATTAATAGCACAAAAATGGTTAAATACACTAAGTTAAAGAGCTTTTCTGTTTTATATATTTTTACAAGAGCATAGACATGTACATTAAGGTTCGTGTTTGCAGCTATTTCGACGTCATCTCCACGGTGGTTGCATCATTGCCTCCGTTGACATCGTAGTCCCCCACGGGCCCACTCAGCAGAACCTTCATTCGCTCTGGGAAGTCATCGAATTTGGGCGAAAGCAAGAAGTCATAAATGAGAGCTGCAGCCACGCCTCCGCATATTGGACCCACCCAGTATACCTGGAAAAGACAGCTGTGGTCAGTCAAAGTGCAAAAAAAAAACCTGATTCTTGGTCAAATTTGAAGCTTTCCTTTTGGCAATTTCTCTCACTGAATAAAATAATGGTTACAGCAACAGAAACTAACTTGTATAGGTGGTTAAATGCTGACATTTGGTAGGGATCAGTTAGATGAGCTTAAGGTAGTCACATTGCATGAATGTGGAGTTGCAGGGGATGCATGCAGAGCTTGTGAGTTTTACCGTCTTACTTACCCAGTGATTAGTGAAATCACTCAGGATCAAAGCCGGGCCAAACGAACGGGCTGGATTGATGCCGCAGCCTGTGTAGCTGATCTGAAATCACAGCAAATTAGAATTTATTTTGGAATAAGGGAGATTACATTAGGCAATGCATAAAAAAAAAAAAAAAACACATTTTGAGAGCTTCTGCATGTTTACTGTATTTTCTCCTCACTGAAATGTAGTGCACCTGAACTAAATAAACATTGCAGTGTTTTTGAGGATAAACTCACAGCTGCCAAGTGTCCCAGGCAGACCGAGAGGCCAATGGCCAGGGGTGCTGAGCCAGTGACATCACGTCGCCTTTTATCAGTGACAGCAATGACACACAGCACGAGCTGGAAGGTTGCCAGGAGCTCTATGCCCACGCCTTGGCTGGGGGTGACACCGTTAAGCTGTGAGGGTTAAAACAAAGAACAACAGCACACTGTTAGTGGGTTTTATTTTGGTGGACGGTTTCCCATCACCCCTCCTGGTTTCTCATTTAGAAGCCTGCTGGTATTGTCCTGGATCTGTCCTGAAACTTTGACAGCAGTTTGGCAGACAAGAAACATTCAGTTCGGTTAATGGTAATCAGCTTTATCAGCAGTGCTTAGAGAGAAGATAGCCCGTTACTCAATACTGATATATTTGTGTGTAAAACCTAAACTTGTAAAAACACTTGACTCAAAGTTTTAACTGTGCATATGTTAATTAAAAAAATCTTCTTGCAGCTTTTAACATGTTCTAATAACTTCTATTTACTCCTGAGCAATAAGCTTAGGATAAAATGAATAATTTCACCTCAGCTCCAATATGTTTACAAAAGCTACACCTTGCTTTAGATACAACCAGATGCATCATTTATCTTTGGGAAACAGCATAGATTAAATTAATACTCACAGAGTTTAGTCCCAGTGCGTCGGTGCCATTTGGACGTGCTCCATACACAATGCCACTGGCCAGGGCTGAGCCCAGCATTTGTGCAACAATGTACATCACTGCCTTTAATACACTAATCTGGCAGCTTGCAAGCATCCCCAGAGTCACAGCAGGATTTAAGTGGGCTCCACTGATGTGGCCTAAACTCTGGGCCAGCGTTGCAATCGCAAGTCCAAAGGCCAGCGACACCTTCACCTCCTGGTCTGGGTGGGTGTTGTTCTTGTTGCCGATAGCCGTGGAGATGCTGAGAAATATGAAGAGGGTCATGCCGACCAGTTCAGCCAAAACTGCCCTCCAAAACTCCTTGCTCTTGAACTCTCGCATGGTGGCTTTTTGGTGAGTGGCTGTTTGGACCTTAAGTTGGAGCTGGTTTACTGCAAATTCTGGGCTAAACTCACAAACAACTGCAAACAGCTTGTATATATAAGGCCTGTGTGCTGATAATAGTTGGTGGGCGGGCTTTGGAAAAAAAACTGAAAGAGAGGGCCACGCTGAATTAATGAGAAATCCAAAAGACTGGTCTCTCACATCCCTCCCTCTTCTTCCTCCTATACCCTCCTCCCCTCTCCCAGCAGCCTCCCTTTGGAACCCTCTCTGTTCTTTGGACTTTAGTGAGTAATAGAACTTTGTGTTTAAATAGCAGTATCCAAAGGTAAAATTTGCTGTTATACAAACTTGGAAAGTTTTACAGCAGATTGTGATCAGAAAATAAAATGAACTGTCTTAATAATACAAAAAAAAAAAAAGAATTTTATGTTTAGTTTGACCTCTTTATGTTTGTGCCTCATCTGCATTATTAATCCAATAGAAAATGTTATCATTTTTTCACAGTAACAGTCAGCAACAACACATGCGTAGGGGTTAGATAAAAAAATAGACAACTCCCTAGCAGACGTTTTAGGTCTCCTCCTTCCTCACTAGAGCCTTTTACAAGACCACCCAATAGATCTCACACATACCTTTTAGGGGGGCACAATCAGAGACAAAGATGGGAAAAGAATGCCCATAAAGTTCTTTTTAAATTAATCTTTTGTTTAAACTTTGAACTTTAAAATGTTTAACTTAACCCAGACTTTTAAAAAAGCAACAAGGTAATTAGAAGCAATAACTATTCCTTAACTGCATCCCGTTTTATTCTAAAACATCAATGTACTTTAGTAAGGTTTTATTTAAAAGATGAACCCAACGAAGAAGTGGAAGCAAAATTATACATGGGTTTCAACTTTTTATGCAACTAAACTGTGGTGGTCATATTTATCCAGGGTTTATGTCCTTAGGGTATTGAAAGTTTCTCCCTCTCAATTACCATTCAATTATTGGTTTTTTATTTGATCTTCTTGTCCACCTTTACAGTTTAGACTGACAGCTTTGTCTTGGCACCTTTGCAGATGTTAGATGCTCAAAGAGATTATCGATGTCTTGTAGGTAAACCCTTCTTCAACTTTTCCATAACTTTATTGTAGGGATTCTCTGTGAAGGCAGTTGGTGGTCAAAAGTAGATGCATGATGCACATCATGCATCTAAGGTCTTCGGTTGTGTTAAAAAAATACAGAACCATGTGTCATTTTCCTTCCAATTAACAAATATGAAACACTTTGACTCAGTCTGCTTCATAAAACCGGAATAAAATCCATAATTTTTTTTAAAGAATGTAGACCATTTCCAAAGTTATGAACACTTTCTAAAGGCAGATTTATATCACACAGTCATAAATATGCAAGATGTTCAAGTATATGTTCTTTATCTTGAAAGAATGAAGCCACAGTAACTCATTAACTGAAAGGATGTTCTCTACGTAATTATTAGTTGTAGCATTGAGCAAGCAGTGAAACATCAACTCTGGGAACAGAGGTGCCTGTTGCAGCTGACTCCTAACTCATGGATCTGTTCCAGTAACAAACCTGCAGCATGTATCTTCGCTGCCCAGTTCAGCACTAAATGCTTTAAAACAAATACTGATAAGGCCGTCAGTATAGAAACTAAAAGACTTAACCATGATATATATTTTTTATGTGTATGCTCTTTCTACAATTTTCCATACTGTATTCTAAACTGAATATTTTAAGACTCTTAGTGAAACTGTTTTTCATAAATTGTTCAGCTTTCTGTTATTGGTCATTTCTGTATGCTTTCATAACGAGCAGAATGCTATTCAGATGTAGTTTTGAAAGAAGTAACTGACCGAGAAAAAAAATTGACAACCTTTTAATTATTAACTGCGTCAGCTTGTTCTCAGTCAAACCTGGTTCATATTAAGAACATGGCGATGATCACATGAGACACTGACAGGAATGAGGGAAAAACTCGCTTGAATATTTCCTGCAGAGCAATGAATCATGCTCTGTCTAATGTTGACAAAGCTTGTCTCAGAAATCTCCATGTATCGTCATTTTTGATTAATTTCTTTTTTCTTGACTAGATTTTTCTTAGTCAGGATAATTTTGACGTAAAAGTTAGTTGTTCCTGTCTTCAGAAAGATGTAAAAATGACTATTGAATTTTCCCTGGAATGATGTCCTCTGAATGTGCATTTGTAGAAAAGCAAATAAATAATTATATAGATATAGGTTTTTCCCATGTTTTTAGGTTTTTTGTATTTTAATACAATAATAAGAAACATGTTGGAGACATAAAAAGACTAAGGCCATTTTTTTGTTAACTTTTCCCATCTTAAATGTAATACAATATATTTCTTTATTATATTGATTCATTACACATAGGGCAAACCACTTCAAGCTCTTCTTGTAATTTTGATGAATGTTCCTGCCTTACATTTAATGAAAACCCTAAACTGAATATTCAGATGACCAAAATAAAAATCCTTGACACCTTCCTTAAACACCTTTTCCATATAAAGTTTAGAGGAAGGAAAAAAGTGTTTTAGAAAAAGGTACATCAGCAACAGGGAAAACCATAACATGAGACGATCCATTCAATAAAGTGATAGAGCTTTACGAAAAGTATTCTGAGCCAAGAGCTGTGACCACATATGAATCATAGATATGGACTATAAATGTTGCAACCCTCATGTCAAGCTGATCCTTTAAAAGGGACATCAGATGAGTTCTACATGCAGATGCGTTAGGAAAAGAGGGCAATAACCTGGTTATATAAATCTGCTCCCCCATTTTATCATTCAGTTTTTTATTTTTTTTTACAAAAAGAGTACAATTAGTTTAAAACACCATAGATGACATCTCCATAAGAGATGATTGAATCTGGAATAAATTAATAAAGTTTATTTAAAAACAAAGAAAAACAATGCTGTTCTTTATCCAAACAAAAATAAAAACAGCTGAAAGAAATTTGAAAAATGTGAGCGTCAGATAAAGCTATTTTCCCCTTGTATCTTTGTTTGCGCAGCAGTTCAGATTGGAGAAAATATGAGAAAAATGTTTCAATTCCAGGAAGCATTGATAAACCCCAACAAACCTCAGATCTGTTTAGTTATTGCAACCACCTCATTCACTATAAATGTAAATACTGTGATTAATTTGTAAGCGTGAAAATATTTAGTATTATTAAATCTACAGTATAAACTAGGACATAATTTCAGATATAGAACTGACATATCTGCTTTTGCCGAGGAAACCTGTGGGCTTTTCAAAATCAGAACTAGATATACAGTATATTGATAAGGAGGAATTGTCTCATTGTTCTCATTCTGCTCTGGCTGTTTTTGTGCATACTGCTAGGCCGAAGGAAAACTTCATTTTCCAGGATAGGATTGCAGAGCTGAAAGGGCGTTGAAAGTTTGGTATGTTCCAAACTAGCCAGAGGAGTGAAGAGGAGTTTAGAGCAGCAGCAGGAAAGGCAAATAGGATTTGGATCTGTGCTGCACAGTGTCAAACCTGACTTTAAATGAGCTGCTCCCAGGGGAATAGACAGCTGGAGCTTAGTAGACAGATGAGACTTGGTAACATTAGAAATGGTCTGATGACTGGTTAGAGGATTGATGTTTGGCAAAACAACACTTGTCATCTATTTTCAGTCATACTACTGGATGTAATTTAACACTGTTATTTTTTCTATGCTATACTATCCTTGTATGTGTAAACAGAATTCATTTTCAAAGGGTTTCTAATGAACATTTAGAAAAATAAATTTTTATGTTTGGAGGAGCTGGTGTCAAGTTTCTCACTGATTTTTAATGGCATACTGCATTACAACCTCAGTGATATGTGTAAAAAATGTCCTGATGGATTGGGACTAAAATTTAGAAACAATGTGGGGGATATATTTAAGTGATACAATTCTCCAGCATTGTTCTGCATATGGTTAGAATGTACTGGTTCACCACCTTCATGCTCTCAGTGGAAAACAGCTCCACTCAACCCAGAATTTAAGACATTTTGAGGGTTTTTAGGAGAATAAAAGCTTTCAACACATCACTAGTGAAAAACTAGGGAAGGCATGCATATGTAATATTTTCTAGAAAATATCTTGCTTAAATTCAAACAACTTTAACGCAATAATTTGTAACTGTAACATCCGGGCTCAGCTCCCCCTGAAGGCCACTGGTGGAAAAGTACTGTTTCACAGTTAAACCACTTTCAACCATCCGATTGAGAAGTCATGGAGTTACTTATTACAAGGTTACATTTATTCCTCCAGAATAAAATCGTTGTCAGTTTTGTTGTCTAAAAATAACTATTACCTTAGCTACTACTCATATTTAAGGGGAGCTAAGACTGCTGTGAAGCTGTCCTCTAGGTCACATGACTCCTTCATCAACAGATCCAACCCTCTCAAGCCACATAGGCAAGTTTAGGATATTGGCATCCTGCATGCAGCATCAATGCAATCAAAGTGCTGTATATTGAATAAAAAATTATTTAATAAAGCTAAAATAAAACTAACACTTGGGGTCAAACTTAGACGGAATGCATAATTGATTGATTGATTTACATTATTGATCTTATAGTAGAGAAATTTACTTGTTACCTTGGCTCAATAGCCAAATAGAAGAAGAAGGTGCCAAAAGAAGGAAAAGGTTCTTGGGGTATATACAGTATATTCAGTGCATCCACATGGGTATTTATATATATAGTTATTGCACTTGATATAACACAAAAAACTGGTTATTGCACAGGGTATTAAATAGTGTACTTTCTCACTTTAGATATTGCACAAGATATTGCCATTGTATTGTCGCATTGTAGAGTCTGATGGCAGCAGGGATGGATGACCTGCAGTAGTGCTCCTTTTTACAAACAGGGTGAATAAGTCTTTCACTAAAGGAGCAGCTCAGCTCCTCTACAGTCTGGTGAAAGGTGTTGTCCATGATGGATGTAAGCTTGGACAGCACCCCCCTCTCAGCCACT